AAAAAAATCGATAGCTGCATTCGTCACAAGTGGTAAAAATTTAAATCTTCATGGCACTTTACTCCAATTGGCTCATTTGCTTGTTTAAACTCAACGTTGATTCTGATTCTGCAGAACTGGGTTGGGTGTGAAAAAGTATTTGTTGTTAACATTCTTTTTTCATTCGGTTTTTCCAGTTACGAGTCCTTTTTTAACGCTGATCGTTTTGTGTTCATTTTGTTTAGTTCTTTTTTCGTAACAGATTTAATGTTTAGTATAGAGCTTAGAAAAAAATTCGCAGTGTGAGATAGGCAAGAAGTAAGGCATGTAGCAACATCAGCACAGCAAAGGGCACTCCTTTAAAGTCAAGGAAGGGCAAAAATATTTTAAGTCAAGTGATAGCGATTGCTTATTGAGTCGTACGATTTTTGAATCAAGCACTGGCTGCTAGTACCTAGTAATTTTTACAAATTAACATATTTTTCTGCGGTTATTTAATATTTAATTCACTTTTAGTTAGATTTCAAGAAGCTTTACGAAATTTGAAATTCGTTTCTAGGTTCCTACATTAAACAAAAAATTAATTAATTGAAGTATGATCCAAATTAAAATGAATACATAAATTAAAAATATTTAGTGAAGTAGCAATTAATTCGTTTTTACTGCTCATGCAGCATTCTAGATTTCAAAGTTCAAAGTTTTTTGATGCAGTAAAAACGAACAGTTGAAATGTTTTGAATTTACAAAAAACACATCTACATACTCACAAACAACTTAGCCCCCCGCCTGCCCCTGAAGATGGTCTCAGGTGAGATTGAAAGTAAAAAAAAAAATATTTGAAAGAAAATTTTGGTATTTTTCTTAGTCATTTTTCTCTGGTGTTATGGTCCGGTTCCTTGTACCACGGTGATAGTCCAAGGTAGAACCAATAAAGAAGAACTCGAATACAGATATGGAATAACACAGATATATTACAAACAGGAATATATACAGAGAAGTAGACAGTATCACTATTCCAATGTCTTGTAGTAATTGTCTGAACGCGACTCTGTTTCGGACTGCCTCTGACTCGACTGACTGACTCACTCGCTCTGACTAACTGACTGTCAGACTCCTGACGGACCTCACTCCAGACTTCAGACTGAATGATATTCAGTCACGAGGGTGTCATGTGGCACAAGGCCTTTTTAACGTGGGAACTCCGAGCCCGTGGGTTCGGCCAAAAATATGACCTTTGAACCCGTATAAACGGGTTCAGGGTCGGTTTACCTCTCTGAAAGAGACTCCGCCCTTCGGTGTAGCCTCGTTCAGATTCCTCCCCGCCCGAAGGCAGAGAGTTCAACCGATCAGCCAGTCAGCGGGTCGCCCGACTTCGGTCTGAACTCTCTGCTTCCTCTTGAGGCGCAGTATTTATTACGTATGGAATAGTCCATTATGTTATTATGGGTAAGGTCCCGTAACATCTGGCTACCAAGAAATGAATCCGTGAACTTGAAAGTATCACAACGAAAACTAATCGCCATGATATGCTTAAATTATTTAATCAAACTTGAAAGTATCTGTTTTATAGGAATAAAGTGTCGCTGCCGACACTTGAGTTTGAACGTAGATCGCCAGCGAGCAAACACTGGCGATCCCATTATTGAATAAAGTGGATCGCGTGACCATAGCAGAAACGCATATATGCGAGGTAGCGTGTGTCTAATGGATTGTCATTTCTATTCTATCTTCTATCACTGCTTGGATTGCTATTTCTACTCTATCCTCTATTACTATACGGAGCTATTTCTACTCTATCCTCTATTACTATAAGGAGCGCTATTCTCTACTCTATTCACAATACTTCTCTATTCAGATCACTATACGGTGGTTACTTTCCGAGCGAATATTATCGAGCAAGTGCTATTAGTGCGAGATTATTCGAAGGCGTCTGACCCCAGTATTGTTTAACGGCGTTACTATAGTTGTATCTGCGATTACAAAGTCTCTACTACAACGATCATTACAAAAGTGACAACGAGTATTCGTTGACATCACAAAAAAAAAAACAATTACATGAGTGTTCAAAAGTCAACAGAGGACCAAAGAAGCGGACGCGCCTCGTCGGCAGCTTTCTTATTCTGCATTCGACTACATCTGGAAACAAGAGTTAAAAAGAGCTAGAGAGGTTGCCTTTTTTTTATAGACTTAAAGAGCCTCCCTCTCCCCATCCCAAGGAGCGGTTTTGGCTGAGCCAAGTGGCGTAACCCACATAGGTGTTTTTTTTTTTTTTTTTTTTTTCGCATGTCTCTTCTTTCCTGCATTGTTTTATGTTGGTTGCAACTCGTATAGGAATGACTGCAGAACACTAGCCCCTCCCCGATTGAAAGGCAGAAGCACCAAAATACATGCTGGGATTTTTTCTAGCCAATGAAATAGACCAGTTCTCGGTTTTATCCGACTCAGTCCCGGTCTGTCTTGTCTCGAAGTCAGAACCCTTCCTTCGCTTGTCTGAACCTGATTTTGTGTGTAAACACCAATTATTAGTCTTGTGAACTTTTTGCCATACTACTGTTGCTTTGCCTTCTTACTGTTAATTTATCTTGCATATATTTTTTTATTATTATCTTCTCTGTTATTTTCTTTCAAGCTATGTTTCTTTGTTTGTACGTCGCCTGAATGCCTCCGAATTTATTCTTTACTAGCCAAATTACTCGCGGCTTGCCGCGCGTCATATATTCTTTTGTAAGAAAATGATGATTGATTTTAAATCATTGTTATAATTTATGGAGAAAATGATATATTTCATTATTACTCAATGATCTTGCCGATGTGACCTCCATTTTCTGGCTTTCTCCTTCCATATTTTTGAGTAGGAGTCATTCCCTTGTTCAAATTTAAATTTAATTCAAATCAAAGGGAAAAATTTTCGTTGGATGTGTATGTGCAAAAAAAAAGCTTGATCTGACTTCCTTTGATGTGTATTTGATGCAATACTTGATTGAATGAATCGATGAGAAGATTTAAACATTGATATGACAGTTGATATGACAGCACTAACCACGTATTAGGGATTTCTTGCTCACATTGTCTCATTTTGATCTTGCCGATGTGAGCTCCATCTTCTGGCTTTCTCCTTTCATATTTTGAATAGGAGTCATTCCCTTGTTCAAATTTAAATTTAATTCAAATCAAAGGGGAAAATTTTCGGTGTGTGTGTGCAAAAAAAGCTTGATCTTTATATTTCGGATAGGATTCATTCCCTTATTTAAATTTAAATTTAATTTAAATCAAAGGGAAAAAAATTCTCAGAGGGGAGTGTATACCCCCCGGGGGGGATTCATTTGATCAAAATGAAATATACCCTATCCAAGTACAATGTTGTGGACATTAAAAAAATCTACTTAAGTTGTGGACATTAAAATAATGTGGAAATTAAAAAAATCTACTTAAGTTGTGGACATTAAAAAATTCATCTTAAGTTGTAGACATTAAAAAATCTTAATTTGTGGACACTAAAAAATCTTCTTAAGTTGTGGACACAAAAAAATCTTCTTGAGTTGTGGACATTAAAAAATTTTTCTTAAGTTGTGGACATTAAAAAATCTTAAGTTGTGGACATTAAAAAATCTTAATTTGTGGACATTAAAAAAATCTTCTTAAGTTGTGGACATAAAAAATTCTTCTTAAGTTGTAGACATTAAAAAATCTTCTTAATTTGTGGACACTAAAAAAATCTTCTTAAGTTGTGGACACAAAAAAATCTTAAGTTGTGGACATTAAAAAATCTTCTTAATTTGTGGACACTAAAAAAATCTACTTAAGTTGTGGACACTAAAAAAATCTACTTAAGTTGTGGACACTAAAAAAAATCTACTTAAGTTGTGGACATTAAAAAAAAATCTTCATATAAAGTTGGGTATTATGGGACATTAGTAAACCTTAACTATCAAATATATCGAATACGTAACTGTCACATTGTTAGAAAACGATTTTAGAGGTCGGCTATTTCCAGGTCGATATTGGTGGGGGGTCGATTTACTATGAATTTCTATTGCAAACCGATCAGACCACTAAATTCTTGAAGTACCCGACACAATTAGACAATTCGTCGATTTTAGGCTTTTTAAGTCGGCGAATTTACCTGATCCAGGGTTATTTTGTGAATAAAGACTTCAGCTAAGGACCTACGTCTGCCTAATTCTTCTCCGTATATTATAATATAAAGCATAGCATAATATATAACAGGGGTCGACTTCAGTTATGTGCCATGCGTGACACATGCTTAGGCGATCATGTATCGAAAGATACATGACTGACGAGGCAGATTTAGGTAGGTTACCATTTCTTTCTGCGGTTAGATATCCAAGGCTATAGAACCGGGTCTGCCTTGTTATTTACTGGGAGCTGGGGTGGGGGAGAAGAGGATTCATAGCTTTTCCCAAGGGTTTTAGCACGTAAGTCAATGTAATGGATTCGACTGGAATTCGAGTTCAATCCGAGCCGCTATCCATTACTCCACCGTACCAAATCTTTTGATGGTGACGCTATCAAATCTTACGAAAATATAAAACTGCTCCCCGGAAATTTTTCAAATATCTCCTTTCCTGAAAGAATTACTCCTATCCAAAGCCAAGACTATAAAAATGTTGAAAAATGAAAAGAAAACGATTTTTTTTTAAATATAAGTTAATCACAAACTAAAGTGATATAAATATTTAATTACATTATTAAACAAAACCAAACCAGGTACTTACTTTTGTTTATGAGACATTAAATTACATCACTTAGCGTCTCCCATAATTTACCTTAACTTTTTAGTCAGCCTGATGAATATGCATAAGCGTTTCTTAAATCTATAAAACATTGAAAACTTAACGACATTTTACTTTCGTTTCTAAGTACTTGTTGCGAAATAAAATCCTTCCTTTTGCCTTAGTAAGATAAGTTTTCCTCTTGCCTCTATTCATATATATATGTATATATGTGTGTGTGTCTGTGTGTAAGCATATCAGTTTAGTAAGTTTGTCGATATCAACTAGTCTATCCAAAATATTTCATATCTTTCTTATCTATCTATCTATCTATCTATCTATCTATCTATCTATCTATCTATCTATCTCAGTCTGTTCATATCTATCTATCTGATTTTGTTCATAACTATCTGTCCCATTCTGTTCATAACTATCTCAATCTGTTTCTATCTATCTATCTATCTATCTATCTATCTATCTATCTATCTATCTATCTATCTATCTATCTATCTATCTATCTCAAAATGTTCATATGTATGTATCTATCTATCTCAATCTGTTCATCTCTCTCATTCTCTCTATCTATCTATCTATCTATCTATCTATCTATCTATCTAGCTCAAACTGTTCATACGTATGTATCTATCTATCTCAATCTGTTCATCTCTCTCACTCTCTATACCTATCTATCTATCTATCTATCTAGCTAGCTAGCTAGCTAGCTAGCTAGCTCAAACTGTTAATATGTATGTATCTATCTATCTCAATCTGTTCATATGTATGTATCTATCTATCTCAATCTGTTCATCTCTCTCACTCTCTATATCTATCTATCTATCTATCTATCTATCTATCTATCTATCTATCTATCTATCTATCTATCTATCTCCACATATGTATACAAGCGAGTGTTGATCTGTTTTCGAGCAAACCTGGAAAGATATTCCTCGAAATTCTAGTGTGGTCAGTTTTTTTAAAAAAAACTTTTATATAATTTATAGTATAATAGAAGTAATCGCGCTCAAGACCCGCCAAAGCTTTCTCGAACTTCATTATTAAAACGGAAACATGAAAGGTTCATTACTTACAGCCAAGCTCTGCTTCAGAGTATGCTAAAAGTTAATTGAATCTATTGTACCACAGAAAATTTAAAAAAAAAGAAAATCACTAGACCCCACGACCCATGGCCAAATCAATAAAATATATTTGCCCTTTGAGTTTCGAATTTCAAAACAGATAAAATAAAATATAAATGGAGGTCTTTACAACCTCTCTTCATCATCCTGTTGTTATGTCTCTAGTCACGCATGCGCTAACTTGTACACCTCGCCATTTGTCTTTGTCGGCTGTCATACGTTCGCGTTCAATTTCCTTGGTAAATCCTATTTGGAAAAGCTGTTTACAAAAACCTCCTTGGCGTCTTCCCGCCATTTCTTCGACCAAACTAACAGCAATCAGACACTTCAGAAACTTTCTTTGACCAATCAAATTACTGCACCATTTTTGCGTCCAACCCTGACCGTCCAAGTCCGCCTCTCCGACAACACTGTGTGCCATGTTCATCGTAAAAATATCCCTTTGAATTACTTCTTCCGGTCAGTGTAGATGTATGAACGTACATGGCCCAAAATTCGTCGTCGTTTGGATAACGAAAAAAAAGAAAGAAGAAAAAAAAACAACAACTTTTCGCCATAATGTTACTTTTAAAATAAATGTAATTTTCGGCGGCACGATCTCATGAGGAGGCGAAAAATGAACGTAATTGTGCCGAAAAGGGGAAGAGAGATAAATATAAAATATATTTAAAAAAAAAAAAAAAAAAAAAACATAGAAAAATAAATGAGAGTAATAAATGAGGCAAACCATAAGAAGAAATAGAAGGATGGGGAGCTGAGGGAGAGAGAAAGGTAAAGGATGATGATAGTAGTAGTAGTAGTAGTAGTAGTAGTAGTAATAATAATAAAAGATGAAGTAGGAGGAGGAAGAGGAAGAGGAAGAGGAGGAGAAGGCGATGCAGGAATGAGAAGCAGTAGAAGAAGAATAAAAACTTGAAAGGGGGAGTAGTAGTAATAGAATAATAATAATAATAATAATATGAAGAAGAAGAAGAAGAAGAAGAAGAAGAACAACAACAACAACAACAACAACGAGTAGAAAGATAAAATCTTGGAAGGGAGATTAGTAGTAATAGAAAAAGAAGGCAAATAAGAGGAAGAAAAAGAAGGCAAATAAGAGGAAGAAAAAGAAGGCAAATAAGAGGAAGAAAAAGAAGACGAATACTACTACTACTACTACTACTAATAATAATAATAGTAATATGAAGAAGAAGAAGAAGAAGAAACAGGTGGAGGAGGAGAAGGATAGAAAACTGGAAGGATTAGCAATAAAAGGAAAAAGGAGGAGGAGAAGAAGAAGAAAAAAGTCTAAAACTTTGAGAGAAGAAGAAAAAGAAGACTTAAAATTATTATTAGTAGTAGTAGAACACGAAAAATGGGAGGAGAATTAAAAAACAGGAGGAGGAGGAAGAGGAGGAGAAGAAGAAGAAGAGAAAAGAATTCCAAATGATTGGAAGGAGTAGTAGTGACAGGGAAAGGAGAAAGAGGATGAACAGATGAAAGAAGCATGGGAAAGACGCCGAAAGTAATAGTGGTAGTAGTAATAGAAGAAAGAAAGAAAGAAAGAAAGAAAGAAAGAAAGAAAAGAAAGAAAGAAAGAAACGAAAACAGATAAGGCAAACGAGAAAGAATTAAGAAAGCAAAAATAAAAAAAAACCTCGAAAGACAAACATACTTCCTTTAGAGTTTGAAAATTTCGCGATCTTTCGCCCTTTGTGAAGATGTCGCATACTTTTGAGGAGGTGGGATATAAAACCGACCTTACGCCAAAGTTAGTCACAAAGGAAGTTGTGCTTTTTGGGTAAATCTGCTTAGCAGGAATTTGGAACAGTGACAATAGAAAATCTATTTCTGAAGGAATTGCAAACGTTACAGCAACTATTAGAAAGATGAAGAAGGCTTCCTTCTTTGTATGGCGCAGAGTATTTAACTGACTTAGCATTTACTACATTCTCTTCATATCTATCTATCTATCTATCTATCTATCTATCTATCTATCTATCTATCTACCAACCTCGGTCTCTTCGTTTATATCTATCTATCTATCTATCTATCTATCTATCTATCTATCTATCTATCTATCTATCTATCAACCTCAGTCTCTTGGTTTATATCTATCTATCTATCTCTCTATCTATCTATCAACTCCAGTCTCTTCGTTATATCTATCTATCTATCTATCTATCTATCTATCTATCTATCTATCAGCCCCAGTCTCTCTATTATATCTATCTATCTATCTATCAGCCCCATCTATCTATCTATCTATCTATCTATCTATCTATCATCCCCATCTCTTCTATATATCTATCTATCTATCCCATCTATCTATCTATCTATCTATCTATCTATCTATCTATCTATCTATCTATCTATCAGCCCCAGTCTCTTCGTTATATCTATCTATCTATCTATCTATCAACTCCAGTCTCTTCGTTATATCTATCTATCTATCTATCTATCTATCTATCTATCTATCTATCTATCTATCTATCAGCCCCAGTCTCTTCGTTATATCTATCTATCTATCTATCTATCTATCTATCTATCAATCTATCTATCAACCTCAGTCTCTTCGTTTATATCTATCTATCTATCTCTCTATCTATCTATCAACTCCAGTCTCTTCGTTATATCTATCTATCTATCTATCTATCTATCTATCTATCTATCTATCAGCCCCAGTCTCTTCGTTATATCTATCTATCTATCTATCTATCTATCTATCTATCTATCTATCTATCTATCAGCCCCAGTCTATTCGTTTATATCTATCTATCTATCTATCTATCTATCTATCTATCTATCTATCTATCTCAGTCTCTCCAAGTTTTATTTTACTTCTGTATGTAGCCAGGTATTGGACTCACAGTTCTTTGGGTTAAGTCATTAGATTCAACCAACGCTTTTAAATAATTACAATACGTCGTTTGAATGTTTTAGATGAAGCGATGCGGCTTTCCTATGTCCTTTCTAAAAATATTTTCATGGCCACTTCCTGACGAGTATTTTTTCCTAGTATCTCGACTATATGAATTTAGGCAAATTTTGGGGAGTCTTTGAAAGTCAACCCAACATGAAATCATCACTATACATCACAACCTGGAATAAAAACGCGGAAACTTACTATTGTAACTGAGTTATCAAAAACAGTGGAAAACGGGAATTGGTTTACCAACAAGTTTATTAGCTTTTGGCACAGGGAAACGTAATGTAGAATAGAAACTAAAGGAGATAATATGCAGCCATAAATGACTGTTTTCAGCAAAATCTACTGCTGCTACTGCTCCCCCTGCTACTCCTCTTGATGTCTTCCGTCTGACGGTCGAACCTAAACTTTTAGGGAAATACGCTCCTTCACAACATATACTAACAAAGAATCCCTTGAAATGGCTAAAGAATTAGCTGAAAACGCTTGGAAAGATGTGGCTGCCTAAACCAAAGATTATGATAGTGTTTAATACATTTATCAGGTCATTTAAAAGTTTTAGATCAAGCGATGTGACTTCTCCCTGTCCTTTCTACAAATGCGTTCATGGCAACTGCTCTGACGAGTCCTTTTTCTTTCTATCTCGACTACATGAATTTAAGCAATTTCTTGGGAGTGTTTGGAAGTCACCACAACATGGAATCACCACTATACAACACAGCTTTAGAATAAAAACGCGGGAATATACTGCTGTAACTGAGCGGAAAATTGAAATTGGTATAACAACAAGTATATTATATTTTGGTACAGGAAAACATAATGTAGAATAGAAACTAAAGGAGAGAATATTTAGCCGCGAATGACTGTTTTCAGCAAAAGCTACTGCTCTTCCCGCTACCCCTCTTGATGTCGGAGTATTTTTATGTCTTCCGTCTGACGGACGAGTCCAAAATTGAAGGGTAATATACTCCCTCACAATATATACATCTTGAAATGGCTAAAGAATTAGCTGAAAACGCTTGGGAAAATGTGTCTGCTTAAAGAAAAGATTATGATAGTGTTTAATACATTTATCAGGTCATTTGAAAGTTTTAGATGAAGCGATATGGCTTCTCCCTGTCCTTTCTACAAATGCGTTCATGGCAACTGCTCTGACGAGTCTTTTTTCTTTCTATCTCGACTACATGAATTTAAGCAATTTCTTGGGAGTGTTTGGAAGTCGCCACAACATAGAATCAACACAGCTTAGAATAAAAATGCGGAAACATAAGGTTGTAATTGAGTGGAAACCGCAATTGGTTTAACAACAAGTATATTTTGGTACAGGAAAACATAATGTAGAATAGAAACTAAAGGTGAGAATGATTAGCCGTGAATGATTGTTTTCAGCAAAAGCTACTGTTGTTACTGCTCTTCCCGCTATTGAATGTTTTAGATGAGGTGATGTGGCTTCCCTCTATCCTTTCTACAAATATTTTCACAGCAACTGCTCTGACGAGTCTTTTTTCCTTGTATCTCGATTACAAGAATTTAAGCAATTTCTTGGGAATATTTGGAAGGCACCCCAACATGGAATCAATACAATAATAAACATGCTTATGAGATTATCTGAATACCTTAGATGAAGCATTGGCGTTATTATTAATTTTCTGACTAGTTTATCTTT